GGGGGGGGCTGCGGGGGCAGGCATGGGGCTCCAGGAGGGACTCTGGAGGGCAGGGGAGGTGCAGGGGGAGCAGCAGGAGGCAGAAGGGGGAAAGGGCAGAGTCCCATGGCTAAGCCCCCCCATTGACAAGCTGTTCTCCCTGGTCCCCTCCCCGCAGGAGAATATCATGAAGTCGAACATCGATAAGAAATTCTCCGCTCATTACGATGCGGTGGAGGCAGAACTGAAATCCAGCACTGTGGGTGAGTGGGGGCCCCTCCTCCCCAAGGCGGGAGTGAACCCAGGCCTCTGGGCTCCCAACTGCTCTAACTGCTACCTAACACTGCCCTTATGCTGGGGGAGGACCCAGGGGTCTGGGCTGCCCCATCCCAGTCACTAGATGTGCTGGGGGCCTGACTCCTCTGCCCCCCAGGTCTGGTGACACTGACTGACATGAAGGCCAAGCAGGAGGCGCTGGTGAAGGAGCGTGAGAAGCAGCTGGCCAAGAAGGAGCAGTGCAAGGAGCTGCAGCTGTGAGTTGGGTGGGGGGCCAGTGGTCAGGTCTCCTCTATGGCTGGGAATGTGCCCGTTGGCACCATTAACCAGCACGCTTGCGCTCACCCCCAACCTTTAAAAGCTGCCCCCCGGAGCACCGGCTCCCAGGGAGGCCCCAGCCCCCGCTGTTTTAAAAGCTGCCCCTCCGAGCACCGGCTCCCAGGGAGGCCCCAGCCCCCGCTGTTTTAAAAGCTGCCCCTCCGAGCACCGGCTCCCAGGGAGGCCCCAGCCCCCGCTGTTTTAAAAGCTGCCCCTCCGAGCACCGGCTCCCAGGGAGGCCCCAGCCCCCGCTGTTTTAAAAGCTGCCCCTCCGAGCACCGGCTCCCAGGGAGGCCCCAGCCCCCGCTGTTTTAAAAGCTGCCCCTCCGAGCACCGGCTCCCAGGGAGGCCCCAGCCCCCGCTGTTTTAAAAGCTGCCCCTCCGAGCACCGGCTCCCAGGGAGGCCCCAGCCCCCGCTGTTTTAAAAGCTGCCCCTCCGAGCACCGGCTCCCAGGGAGGCCCCAGCCCCCGCTGTTTTAAAAGCTGCCCCTCCGAGCACCGGCTCCCAGGGAGGCCCCAGCCCCCGCTGTTTTAAAAGCTGCCCCTCCGAGCACCGGCTCCCAGGGAGGCCCCAGCCCCCGCTGTTTTAAAAGCTGCCCCTCCGAGCACCGGCTCCCAGGGAGGCCCCAGCCCCCGCTGTTTTAAAAGCTGCCCCTCCGAGCACCGGCTCCCAGGGAGGCCCCAGCCCCCGCTGTTTTAAAAGCTGCCCCTCCGAGCACCGGCTCCCAGGGAGGCCCCAGCCCCCGCTGTTTTAAAAGCTGCCCCTCCGAGCACCGGCTCCCAGGGAGGCCCCAGCCCCCGCTGTTTTAAAAGCTGCCCCTCCGAGCACCGGCTCCCAGGGAGGCCCCAGCCCCCGCTGTTTTAAAAGCTGCCCCTCCGAGCACCGGCTCCCAGGGAGGCCCCAGCCCCCGCTGTTTTAAAAGCTGCCCCTCCGAGCACCGGCTCCCAGGGAGGCCCCAGCCCCCGCTGTTTTAAAAGCTGCCCCTCCGAGCACCGGCTCCCAGGGAGGCCCCAGCCCCCGCTGTTTTAAAAGCTGCCCCTCCGAGCACCGGCTCCCAGGGAGGCCCCAGCCCCCGCTGTTTTAAAAGCTGCCCCTCCGAGCACCGGCTCCCAGGGAGGCCCCAGCCCCCGCTGTTTTAAAAGCTGCCCCTCCGAGCACCGGCTCCCAGGGAGGCCCCAGCCCCCGCTGTTTTAAAAGCTGCCCCTCCGAGCACCGGCTCCCAGGGAGGCCCCAGCCCCCGCTGTTTTAAAAGCTGCCCCTCCGAGCACCGGCTCCCAGGGAGGCCCCAGCCCCCGCTGTTTTAAAAGCTGCCCCTCCGAGCACCGGCTCCCAGGGAGGCCCCAGCCCCCGCTGTTTTAAAAGCTGCCCCTCCGAGCACCGGCTCCCAGGGAGGCCCCAGCCCCCGCTGTTTTAAAAGCTGCCCCTCCGAGCACCGGCTCCCAGGGAGGCCCCAGCCCCCGCTGTTTTAAAAGCTGCCCCTCCGAGCACCGGCTCCCAGGGAGGCCCCAGCCCCCGCT